CGGGTGGCGTATATTGATTCGCCGCCCGCCTTCCTGATTAGCCGGGAAGCCAGGCGGCGTGTAATCACTCACCACCCTGCTTCCCAATTAGCAGGGAAGCCACTCTATGCTCCCTCGTCACCAGGTGCCCAGGTGTCATCATTACACGGCGCCCAGCTTCCTGATTGGCCGGGAAGCTGGCTCCATGCTCCCTCGTCACCAAGTGCATCCCTAATATATATAAATATGTATATATTTACAGGATATATTATAAAATCAAACATGTGGGCAAAAGGTTGGATTTGCTGGACATGCGATTTGTTTTAAACTAATGTTATAGTAGTGTGTTAAAGGGTACAGCCAAAACAGAGGATTAGGGCTTGAGTTGCATACACGGATCACAGTCTACTCAGTACTCACCCAGTCATTGCCGTACTACAGCTTTTCCCATGTCCTTTCTTATGCAAATGACATACAACTTTTCCTAGATGATCTGTACAGCTCTTGGACTCAAATTTTTGAGTCATTACCTGTAATAGGACATTCATTTTGGTGGGATACTTTCAGAGTTTAATATGTTGGTGTAGCCAAAACTTTTTAGTTTAGTTCTGGATAGAGTAGGGAAAGGTTAGAACCTCTGTCAATTTATTTATCAATTTCTGTGGAGAACCCCTCTATTTGTCTTGGGGACCATTCTTTTTGAGATAGAAAGTGATGGGAAATCCAACATTTTAAAGCTGTCACAAGAACAAGAGGTGAGGAAAAATCCTCCAATGGGGACAACCGTTCCCACTTCATGTTGTGACTCTGGGACAGGAAATTAAGGGAAATCTCCTAAGTGGAACACAGACAGTAAACAAATAAACTGACATGGGTTTAACCTTTCCCCTTTCTATTCAAAACTAAAAACACATTTTTTTCTTCTGTGCAGACACTATGGGGGTGATTTACTAACCTAAACACACGCACGAGGTGCGTGTGATTTTTACACAGCAAAGCGTATTTATCAACCAAAAAGTCTCTGTAAGCATATTTCCACTAATGCCATATATGGAAAAATCATGCACATGATGCATATATAATGCTGCTTCACAGTTTAGACAAAAATGGTTAGCTCATGCATTTACATTCCTTGCATTCATCAACGCAAGCAACACAACATAGAGCTAATTTACCCAACATCACCTTGCAATTCAGGGCAGGGCTTTGCACAACACACCTGCTGGGTGTGTACACACTACAAAGGTGTTTAGATTCCACCCATAGATCATGCTGGGAGGGAACACACTACAGAGGTGTATACATGTTTGTGGTGTGTTTATAAGGTTAGAAAAATCAACCCCTATAAGCTGGGGATGTAGTTTTTTTTTTTTTTTTACAGCATTGGGACTGATCATGTAACAAAGACTGACTATCTAACTGAGTAGTCACTTTCAGGAAGTGCTGGGACAGCCTATATCAATATCTACTAGGCAGAAGCAGGTAAAGATTTGAAATAAGGTTTGACTTGGAAAATATGGTTATATTTTTGTAACAGTACATAGACTGTATTTTACAAAGCATAAAAAACATAAAATGTTTCCAAGCAACCTGATTGTCTCCACCCCCGAGATATACCGAGCCAATTATATTAATGTATCCTGTGACTTCTGCCAGGTCTGTAGTAGCACATTGACAGCCTGACTATTGTTCTGTCCAAGGACTTTCAGCAGAATTGAATGTCAAGCAGTTATCAAGATCTACCCATGCATGGCAGCCCTTAATTGTATATTTAATGTACGCTTTTCCATTGAAAGGTGGCAAGCAATTACATCGGAATTGCTATGAATAAATCCCTGGCACACCCTATCTTAACTAGAATGATCTAACCCTTAGAGGGTTTTCTTTCATATGCTACAGAAGTTTATACATAGTCATGTTGCAACACTAAAATCCTATGCATTATTAGTTGAGCATGCAGTCATAATTTGGTTTATCTGAGTGTGATTTTCCATGTTGTGATGAGGCGCCAGCAAGTTCTAACAAGAAAGAGTAGAGAAAGCTCAAGGGTAGTAAGAGTTACTCAGAGCTCATAAATCATTTCAAGGGCTGTTAGCTTTTTCTTCTTTTTTTCTTTTACAAGTTAAAGTTTAAAAAGTTAAAGAAACACTTTAACAGAAATGATTATGTTCCAGAAAAGTAAATATAAGTAATGCTAGTATTCAGTATAACAATATGGTGTTTTATCCAAACTACAACAATAAAATACATTTTATTGTGGAAACAATATCCTACCAACCACTCCTGACATATCCAATCTTGGACGAACAATGAATGCAGCCTATGAGCTCTGTCATGTGTTCTAAGAGTGGAGGGCGGCGGCTGTGAGAGTACAATAGCTGGCAGAGAAGATTACTCCATCTGCACTGTTTAGCTTGGGTGGAGGAATCTGTGAGTATTCTTTTGCTCAGCCCACAGGCAACAAAATAAATCTATACGTGTATGGCCATCTTAAGGTCTGGTTCACACTATGCACCATCTGCTGAAAGTAACATCTTCATGGAGACAGATATTCTCCGCATGCTAGATGACAGGTTGTTTACCATTTTGGTGTCTTACTGCAACCTACTCTGATGTAAGTTAGACATGTAAATTTGGTTTAGTTCCAAATGCAAATTCGGATGAAATTTCAGACATTCGGCTGCATCCCAATGTCCGAATTTTATTAAGGTCGAATGCAAACGATTCCGAATGTTCTTTAAACAAAATTCCGGATCATCGGACACTTGACTGTTTTCCGGCCAATCAGAAAACTCCTTCGGAAGCTAAAACAAAGTTCTGAAAGGTCCGAATACGAACAACGAAACAAAAAGGCGAATTCGGACCCAAAACCCGAAAGTTGAAACAAAACAATTTTTTTGCCGGCTTATAGGTCTAATGTATGTGTTACCAGCAAAAAAACTGCATGTTATAGGGCTCTCTAAACCACCTCTCATGTGTTTTTCTACGCTCCATTTTGTGTTGAGAGCGACAACCACACACAGCAAATAAAGTTAGGTTTTATGGACTACATAAAATATACACATTATATAAAATGTTTTATTTTGCCACATTTGAGATATATGTTAGTTTCAGGAAAGTAAAGGACTGTTGGCAGATTTAGTGACACATTAATAGCTTAATGATTGGCTTTACATGTTGGCCTAAATTATTCTTTAAAATCAGCCAAATAATTCTTCATTCCTCATCAGATATTGTGCTTAATAGCTCATTTTAGACATATAAAACATTGTGAATTTATAGGTGCTTGTTCCACTTGGCCATAGAGGGTGGAGATGATCCTTAGAAATGTCCCACGCAGATAAATTCAAACAATGAGGGTCAACAATTCTTAATCTTTAAATAAAGTGCTAATCCAGCCTTTGAGTTAGAGTGTACAGACCCTATTTAAACTAAGCAGCCTGTAAATTTTAAGTCCATTTGAGTACCACAGTTAGAAGGATGTCAGAGACTGACATACAAATGGATTCGAGGATTTGGGTCTCTTGAGGTGGAGGAAGCCACAATATCTTGCCTTCATGGCTTCCTCAGGGGTGCCCCAAAACTTTTGCACAGCATCATGCCTTTCCAGGGTACTAGGCAGGCAGGCCAGTCACCAGCATCATGGAAATGAATGATGCTAATCCTTGGAGGGTGGGATCAATACAGAAAAGGGCAGATGTTCACCTCTGTCCAGGCCTTCTATGCTCCTCCATGCTCTGCCATGCTGCCACAGCTTCGGCTGATGTGATGGTAGGACCCTGATGTGAACTGGGGAGCTCCTGATACGAAAGAAGGGGCTCTGATGTGAAAGGAGGATGCTTTGATGTGAAAGGATGGGGATCCTGATGTGAAAGGGGTGCTACTGATGTGAAAGGGGGGCTCCTGATTTTAATGGAGGGCCCTAGATGTGAAAGGAGGGTTCTGATGTGAATGGGAGCCCCTGATATAAAGGGTAACCCCCACTTTTTTTTGCATTTTTGCATTGCGTCCTCTTTTAAAATCCTTTATATTTTAAACTGGGTTGCCATAAGATTTTGGATACTTTAAAAGGGTGCTGTAATTGAAGAAAGGTTGAGAAATGCTGGTTTAGGCCATAGGGAGGATTATTAAGATTGGTGAGCTGAGCAATTACGGCTGCTTTGTAACATTGTACTAATCAGAGACGCTTGCACTTCTACCCAGTTTATGTAAAAAGCAGTGTATTTCTGTGTGTTAGACCCAATATATATTAAAATAGTTGACTTAGTAGGGATGTGTACAAGAACTATCAATAGGGCTCAGTGTGCTTATTTGCCCAATATAAGGAATGTGATACTTTCCAGAGGCTTCCAAAAGTAAAGTGTTTGAGGGAAGAGTACTAAAGTGGGATAGTTAGCATCATAAATGGACTAATACATGGAAGAGCTGCATATCCCTAGCTATTCAGGAAGGGTTTTGTCCCTTGTCCCAAATTTCATCATTCAGATTTAGGATCTTTTCTGAAAGATAGTGAAATTCCCAAATCAGCTAATTAACAATGGAAGAAAGGTCTGAGATTGTATACATTTACTGAGCAGATTATACAGCAAGGGGAAGGAAATGAAGCACAGTATATTTATTCTGAGAAATATTTTCTACCATTCTGAACTTAATTTGTAAATCTCGCCTTCAGCAGTCAGAAAGAATGTTGTGCTTGTTTACAATCCGGCCTAGTTTAAAAATCTTACAGGTAAGTTGGTAATATACTCATGTATTAAAACAAACCCCTTAACAGTTTTAACTGGGCAGTTTAATAATATGCTCACAAGTTACTAAAATGTTTCCTTTCGGAAATGCTTTACTGGCTAAAGTTCAGCCTTGCAAGATCTGAAGTAGATGTAAAAATCATTAATAGAGACATTGTGAAAAGATAAGTTGGAGACAGAAAGAGGTGGACTTTCATGCGTAAAATGTGGTTTTAAATAAACAAGAGGCTGACAGCACGCTGAGTGTGACAGTGATCACTTGCTTTACACCTTGTGTTTCAGGTCATGGAGTACCCTGTGCAGAGAAAGAACAGAAGACTTTCTGTTTGAATGGAGGCATATGTTATAGCATAGGAACTAATCAACTGTGCAAGTGAGTAACATGTCGCCTGTATAACGTTAACCAGACAGAAATAATAATATAGCAGATATATGAAGTGTGCTTGTAGCTACTGATCAGGTCATTTGTTTTTATGACAGCTCTAAACAGTAATTGTGTAAATATACAATAAATAAGGACACATACACTGAGTGGCCAGATTATTATGACCACCTGACGTTTGTAGGCAAATTAGCTATAATTTTGCGCTGAAGTTGCTAGAAGGCCAGACCATTATAAATAGGGAAGCAGGTTGTTTACCACGACAGTAAAAGTGATTTGTTTCTGAAGATATGGGTAAACAACGCGATTTAACAGCCTTTGAACGTGGGATGATTGTTGGTGCTCGGAGCCATGGAGCGAGTATCAGCAAAACAGCAGAATTCGTTAAATGTTCAAGAGCAGCTGTTGTTAAAGTGTTTAAAGACTGGACTGTCAGCCGAAAATCTGGGTCTGAACGTGCGAATTGTGGCCGTCAGCGACTAGTCAATGTTAGGGCAGAACGGAGAGTGGCAAGACTGGTACAAGACAACAGAAGAGCAACAGTGCAGTGTCAGATTCCTCGCATCACCTTTCAACATCTCGTGGAGTCACGAGGCGGCCCAACGAAGTCATCTCGTGGCCCAACAAAGTACTGATGGGGTGGTCATAATAATCTGGCCACTCAGTGCATATTAGCACTTAAAGAGTATCTATGATAAAAATGTAAAACTAAATATGTATTTCTGCATTGAATTTCCATAAGTTCTATCCCACTCTTAATAACCATATCAATCTAGACATTTGTAAACTCACGTATCTGTGTGTCACCACTCTAACTGAGCCTGCCTTCTGAACTAAAACTCAACATCTGAACTTCCAAGTATAACATCATGATTGCTTGCTGGAAGCAATGAATGATGGGATATGCAGTTTTGTGAAATGGAGATTACATCACATCAAGCGCCAGAGAAAGAGATGCAAAGCACCCTGGGAATCCAAGAAGTTGATGCAAGTGATGAGCAGACAGAAGGCAGCACCCAGTACATAAAAGGGATTTTTTCATGTAAGCTTTGATTGCATTATCAACAACAACTCTAGTATGTCTGTGAAGGTTCTCATTCATCCAGGTCATGGTATATCTGTAAAAAAGTCAAGGCAACTGGAATTGCTGTATTCTTCTTGAAGACGTTTCACTTGACAACACATCCCTGTCTGCTTTAAGACCAAGCAATACACTGAGGCAACAACTGGTTCACCCTAAAGACCCAACGCCAGAACACAACATTGTGTATGCAGTCCAGTACAGTGAGGAATGCTCAGAATTGTATGTCGGTGAAACAAAACAGCAGCTACACCAGCGTATGGCACAGTATAGAAGAGCAAAACCCTCTGGTCAGGATTCGGCAGTGTACCTACATCTAAAGGAAAAACATCACTCCTTTGAAGACAGTAACGTACACATCCTAGACAGGGACTGGTGTAAAAGAGGTGTGAAAGAGGCCATTTATGTAAAAATGGAGAAGCCAAGCTTGAATAGAGGAGGGGGGGACATCTATTGTCTGCCACATACAATGCTGTTTTAACACCTCTCTCTGGGCAGGTTATTACCACCTCCTAGACTCTAATTATGCAAATGAAATCAACACCTGGTTGTGACTAACAGATTATGTGGATTGGAGCAACATTCACCATATTTATTCCCGGATAATTTTTTTGTACAAACATCTTCAAGAAAAATACAGCAAGTCCAGTTGCCTTGACTTATTTTTTACAGATACAACTCTAGTATGTACTCCTTTTACAATGCTGATGTTATAACAGGATAGTATATGATGGGACTTTACAACTCCTTTAAGATGTGTCTTATGCTTTGCTGGTTTGCATATGTGTGTATAGAACGTGCATGTTTACAAAACTATTACTGACTTTTGCAGCAACAATTGCAGCCCCTTTTATGTGTAATAAGCTACAATTTCATTGGAGACATTGCTCTTTAATGAGTGGAATTGATCCAAGGGTTGTATAAATCATACAGCCTCATATGCAGTAGGTGGTCAATATGTGTAATATTTCATATTTGTTTTCCAGATGTATTAACAACTACACAGGGGAACGTTGTGAAGGTATCCTTTTGGCTAGCGTGGAAAAAGAGCCCAAAAGTGACTTTTCCATAAATTTTCTGGTTTTAGGATTTTTTTTGGGCCTCCTATTTTTAGGGTTCATCTATTTCTGTTGCAGGTAAGCTAACTGTAATATCAGTGTTATGAATACTTCAGTCGGTCAGGGGAGGGATACAAAATAAATGAGTGCACTTTGTCTTGAAGACGTTTTACTAAAAAGGTCATAAATGGTGTTAGGTAATGCAGGCAAGATCTGACTGACAACATTTTTTTTTTAAAAGATCCTACTATAAACATACAAACTTGGGCAACTCTATGGAGGAGGGAGAGGGGTTTATTGGAGCTATCCCAAATGCCAGCCGAATCTTAGTGGAAGCAGATGTTGTCCAAAAACATACAACATGGTTAATCGTTCTCCTGACAATGTCAGCAGGCAGCACGTGCTATTGGTACCCATATAGAAAAAAGATAGATGTTGCCTAGATTGGGCTTTGTATATGTAAATCACATATACATTGTGGTTTGAAAACCTCTCACTATTCCTAATGTGTAGCTAATAGACATGTAACCCCGCAAAAAAATCATTTTCTTTCAGATTCTATTCGGATTTTTATTTCTTTTGGAATTTGGATCCGACATTCGATTCGATATTTGTTATACAGATTTCGGATCCGAAATTTGGCTTGTTATTTTGGATTTGTGACAAGTTTGGGGAAGGCAGGAGAAGTGAACAATCTAGGCAAAAATAGCTGATTTGGAAAAATTCTCCAATTCATCTCACTTTCCAGTTCAGCTATGTTGTCCTAGATTGTTCACCTCTCCTGCCTTCTCCAAACTGTTCACCCTTTTGTGAATAACCCTCTTTGTTTCAGAACGATCCACAACAGGAAGTCACATGACCCTGCCTGTAATGCAACCCCCAACAGCCAAAAAAGATATCTGATTGGCAGAGAACAGTCACATGTCCGATTTAGTTTTTTTTTTAAACGAAATTCGGACGGATTCACATTTACGTTTAAAGGACCGTTCGGATTTGTTTGCATTCGGACATGTTTGAATTCAGAATTTCGGATGCACCCAAATGTTCAAATTTAACGAAATTCGTACAACTATCCATTCGGAACGAAACAAAATTTACATGTCTAATAGCTAGTAAAATATTTCTCACTGCTGCATCTAAGGCTGCAGTTATACCTGAGCATGAGCGTTTGCAGGCATTTTTGGGGACATTTTTTATTTGTGTGTTTTTGCTGATTTTTTTTCAGGCCTATGCAGGCTTCAGCATTTCTGTTTTAGCCCATGGAACGCTATGTACTAGGGGAAGGAGATTGTTATCTAGCCTTGAAAAATGTTTTCAGGTGTTTTTCAGGCACTTCCATCGAAGTTAATGGGGCCAAAAGATGGCGCCCCATTCTGCTTCAGAAGTAGTAGCATATAACCTTTTTGAGTCCCTGAGCGGTTATATGTGAACAGAAACAATTTAAAAGCATGGGATTTGGATTGTTGAGCGTTCTAGAGCTACAAAACGCTCAGGTGTGCCTCAGGGATAAGTTTGTTTTTCCCTTTTTGGTAAATAATTCTACATAATAATCATTTTTACAGAAGAAAGTTGAAGAATCGTAGTGAAGACACTCCATAAATATGTCACTTATGGCATCCCACGGGAGATAAGGTATACAGCCCAGTTCTAGTGTATTTCTCCTCTAACCTATATTTCTAGCACTAATCTCTGAAGTAATCAGTTCCAGAATATAGCAATGTTAATCTTTATTTCAGGAGATAGAAGAAGATTGCTGTTTTTTCTGAAAACTTGACCTTTGAGGAGAAATTGACTACAAGTAACAATATGATTTGTAAGACCACAATAACTTTAGGGGCTCTCTGGGATTTGGGGTCAGATCTTTTCGATGGGCTTTGCTCTTACGCAGCTTGGAAAACTGTCCTGAAACTTTTTATGCAAACTCTAGATCTTATTACATGAATGGAAACTGCTTTGCTGTACTAAAAGCTGGTAATATGTCATAATTCCAGGTTTAATTGGCTATGGTTTTGCAAGTATCTAATGGACACTCTAACATGAAGATAGCATGTAGCTAATATGGATTGGTGTCAGGCTAGTGTCAGAGTAGATGAGACCAAGATGATGAGAGAATACCATTGATTCTGTACGGTATGACTTATGTTCAAAGCTATAACCAGTACCTAAGATCACAGGCTACTGTTGCAGAGATTTTTTTTATGAGCTAGAAAGAAATCGATGGTCTCACAGACAGACCAGATATGAGTGTAGATCTGCTAAACCAGGTATCTAGGAAATATTCGTACACAAGTCAGGATAGAAGTGTAGGTAGTAGGGTCTTTCGTAACGCACCATATATTGATCATAGAATGAGGGACGTAAACCTCTCTCTTTGGAGATATTTCCCAGCACTTCCTATCCTGACTGGAAGTGAGGGGAAAGCTTCCCAACAGGGATACAGACATCAATAAAACCCTGACAGAGGCTCTGACTCGCCTCTCTGTCCAAAACAAAAAAGAAAAGTCTGGAGTTGGACGTTGGAGATCTCTTAGTGTTTGGACTGCTTGGCATATTTTCTGTTGGCTTTGTATTAAAATGTATACAAGTTCAATGCCATCCTTTACTTTCGGTTGTTATAGTTTGTTTGTTGAGGTTATAGTTTCTTTTATAAATATATCCAGAAAATGCTAATGATTTCTGTAAATGCCTTTATCCTCATTTCTTTGCTAAATAAATCATTCTCACATGATTTTACTTGTTATGCTTTGTTGTAATTATGGAAAACCTCATTGCAGTTTTCTTAGGGCCTGTGCTGATGGGCGTTGGGCTTGTGTTAATGGAAAACAAAAGGGAACAGAGCGCCACCTCCGTGTGTAAAATAGTTTATTACAATAAATAAAACAAGGGATAAAAGTACTCACAAAAAAAAGTACTTAATTCAGAATTCACTGACTGGGGCATTTGATCTCCTGCAGACCTGTATTTAACTAGCGTCAAGCAGGTTTGAATTTCCATAGACTAGTATGGGCATGCAAAACCAGTTTGAAGCAAACAAAAGCCGGTCGACACAGGGCCATACCGTGCTTACTATACTATTTCTAACAGGTTCTCATCAGCATATTTTAAAAGAGAAGTACAGCCAAATCTTTTTTAGCTTTACGTCTCTTTTGAGTCACAGGGGTACATTTACTAATATACTCCTGTGACCAAAAGTCAGCGCATAGAAGGCTAATGTAGCAGGTAAATTGTAAAGCAAATACAATTTACTAAATACAAATCTCCATGGTACAAAGTAGCTGATCCAAATATTTTAACAATTTTATTTTAGATCTATTATGAAAAAAAAAAACTATGCAAAACTCCAAAACAGTTTTATGTACAAAATGTAAAAGAACAACTAAAATAAAGAAAACACGTCATAATGTTATGCTGCCATATAGTGGGAAAGCTACATTGTACCCTGCCACAGAAAATTGAACTAAAGGTACCATTTAGATTGAGGGCCCTCCTTACCATCTTGTCTTGAATTGTAGTGATTGTAATGTCTTCCCTTATATTGTAAAGCGCTGCGCAAACTGTTGGCGCTATATAAATCCTATATAATAATATTTAGAAAAATCAGCAGAGGAACGTGGAGATGTCATATCAGCCAGTCATGGTCCAAATGTAATTTTTTGTGGTGGTCAGTATAAATAATGCCCACACCTTATTATGTGAAACGGAGTATGTGAGGTGGGAAGATTTACTTACCTGATTCCCACTCCCGGAGGGCTTCTATACTGGTCCTCTTCTCTCCTGGGCTCTGGAGGTCTAGGGATCGCTGACATTATCACATCTCATGCAGGTTTTAGAGACCTGCATTAGAAGTGAGGAGGCCACGGGACATTCCACCAGCCAGAGTAGAGGGGAAGAAGCGATGGATAGTGAGGCAGCAGGGTTCAGGTAAATAAATCTGCTTTACTACAGCCCCATAGACAAAAATTAGCACTTAACCCTTGAGGTGTGGGAGTAGCATGAGTACTTCTTGTTTGGGCTTTAACCCCTTCTTTTTTTAATTTTTTGTACCCATGTTATATTCCACATTTTAGGCCTGAAAATGACTTAAAACAATATATATTTTCTGAATGCCAAGACCCTATAGAATAAAATGGTGGTAGTTGAAAATTTTTATGTTGCGCAATATTAGCGCAACTCCTTATTAAACCCCAAAATTTAGTGAAAAATTTAATTAAATGCCCCAAAACACAACAAAATACCAATTTTTTTAATGAAATATAAAAGATGAGGTTACAACGAGTAAAACGATACCCAACATGCCCATAAGTAAAACGATACCCAACATGCCCAGGTTACAAATTGCGTGCATCCGTAAAACGGCGAAAAACCCCAGTACCCCAAAAAGTCCATAGAAGACGCTTTAAAAGCCCCCACAGGTCATCAATTTAGAGATACCCCAAAATACTGGCCCTAGAATTATTGCTCTCCGGCGTGCGCGGCGATACCCAACATGTGTAGTGCGTTCGTCGTTTTCATACGTAGGCGCACCCGACGCGTGTTTACGTGGCGACGCGCGTGCTCGGGGGGGCGGGGGACTTTTAATTTTTTTTTTAATTATTATGAGATTGATTTTATTTAAATTTAATTAAAAAAACTTTTTTTTTTTTTACTTTACTTTGACTGCTATCACATGGGGGGGCTTACAAGCCCCCCCATGTGATAGCAGATGGTGGTGACAGGTACTCTTTAAGGTGATGCTGGGGGTCCAAAAGACCCCCAGTGTCACCTTTACACT